TCAGGTAGAAGGGGAGTTAATTTATGTAGGCACACCACTGGAATTATCCAGGATTTTTTTCCTAACAAAAGATAAATGTACTAACAAAGTGGTCATGACATTTCTGATGCCACATGCAGCTACAGAGAGACCAACAAAGCATGAACTTCAACTTGTCAGATCAAGAGGAGCCAATTTTCAAGCACTGCAGCTCTCAAAATTTGCACACTGTAAAAATATAGTTTTGATACTTGCTGTAAACACACATTTCCAGACCTCTGTTCATAGTGTAAGCCATCACTTCTGGTTCACTTCCATTTGGTTACACTGCAGCAGGATTCCTCTCCCTACACTGCGAATTCTGGGCCAAACATTTCCTCAGTGCTCAGAGCTTGCCCAAAAACACAGATCTTCCCTTCCAAGCAACCTATCCTCAAAAAACACATCTGCCAACATTTCCACCAAGTCTTAAATTTTACAGCAGTATAATATGAAACAATATGACATTGTGAGAAGAAACAGAAAAAGAAAATGCTGAGTTTCTTGCATTTGTGGAAATATAAGGGCAGAACAGATAATTACAGGCTGAAGTCTTGCTGATGCCTGCTGCTGGCGCTTTAAAAGAATATTTTAATGCTGTCACTGACATGTTTGAGAAGCCTGCCACTAGCAGTGTATCCAGAAACACTTCAGCTTCAGAATTACCTATTTCAAATTAAAAAGAAAAAGAAAAAGAAAAAGGAGTGCACAGAGCTGTATCTTTTTCCCTCTAGTGACTTTATGATCAAACAAATTCCTCGTAGGTAGATGCAATATGACAACAAGTACAATAGGTTAGAATATTTAATAGCAGTCTAATGTACTGTATCATCAAAACAGACACAGAAAACTAAGAATAGCAGATCATACAATTTTCTATGGCATTCTAATTAAGCTAGACAAATAGTAAAGAAATTATTTTGCTAACATTTGTGTAGAAAAAAAATCCAGATTGTTGACCTTCCTATCCCCCAATATAAAAGGTAAATAATCGTGACTTAAAAACACTGTCAATATAAAACCCTTCAGAGCGGCACACAGGACTGAGTCTTTCCATCAAACTCATCCACACATTTACAGTCTACTTGTTTAAAGCCCTTACAGCATTTAAAATTCCATTTTTCTTCACTCATCCTAAATAAGTCTAATGCTTGTATTGCAATAATTCATCTGTACCTGATCTGAAGCATGTATTCTAGATGCATGGATGTCTCTATGCTCCCATCCAGACCTGAAATCCTCACAATTCAGCTTATGTTATGAAGTCTGAATGAAGTTCTGATCACAGCATCCTCATCAGACAGCAGCCTGAAAAGCAAACAGCAATCTACACCTGTATCAGTAGCAGGCTGTGATGAACGTCAGTATATTACAGGTAATTTGCTTTTGCCTTCATTTGGGAAGCTGACCTGAAAGTCAGTGGAAAGCAAGCCAGAGTTCCCACAAGTTTATCATAAGCCTATCCCAGCTCAGGCACATAAGAAATGGTTACACACTGCAAGAATTTTAAATTGAGAGAGAGGGATGCTACAAAACAGAAATTAATGAGCTTTCCAAGCTTCACAAGTTTCACCTGCACTCACGAGGTCTTTGCATCCTGAACTTGAATTTCTAAGCAATACTCACAACCAGTTTATTGTAAAGACATTACAGGAGAGAAGATTAAATAAATTCCTTTCTCTTCCATTTCTCTGAATCTAGTCACCATCTCCATTCATAGTGTCTTCTTCAATTTTCTTGTCAATCAGTTTCTCACCTCGGGTAGACAATTTGAGCCACAATATCTGAGAGAAAGTTGTCCGATTACTGAGACAAATTCACAGTGCTGCAACGTGCCTCAGCTTTTCCTAACCTAAGGAGGCAGGGCAGGAACCTGTCCCAAGGTTTAGTAACTTCAAATGTTCATCACTCTTTTCCAAATTCCTGCCTGTGCTGAAGCAAGAGATAGCTCTGAATATGTCACCAGAAGCAGATGGATTAGAGTTGTACTTCAGGAGTGTCACTGTCCCATTAGCCAGCTGTGCATATGAATGGATATGCAGCTGTTCCTTCTGCTTAAGCACGCTGCTGGGTGATGAGAAGTTATCAGTAACATACAAGACTGACGGCAGCAGTTTGCACAATAGCAGTACTGATGGCAGCAGTTTGCACAATAGCAGTTCCGCATGGCCATGAACCCTTCCTACTTGCCATGTGTTAGATAAGCACCTGTGCTGAAACACATGGTGTATACAGACTTACAGCCAACCCTTGTGCGCATATGCAAGGAGGTAAACATCACCATCCTAAACATCAGGTGACAAACACACTGGACTAGTTGCAGTCTCAGGATACCTAACACAGACTATAGGAACACAGGAAAATAGGTAATGTATTTCAGCCAGACCTGGAATAAACATACACTGAAGAAAAGCAAAGCTCGAAGTCAAACAGTGGGCATCAGTATACCTTCTCTAATGGAGACACTAAATTTGGCCAGGTAACCAAGCTGACAATCAGTTGTAGGAATTGTGTATGTTTCTGTTTTGTTTGTTTCTGCAACACGAAAGATATTCCTGGAAAAATTTTCAGTTTGGCTGTTGGGATGTCAGCAAATACGCCATCCCTCTTCAGAGTGCCACACTTGTTTCAGCTCATTGGTACAGCCACACACCTTTGAATAGCACAGAAATGATTGCTAGCTCTGTTTTTCATTCAGATGAAAAGATCTATCTTATGAATAGGTACACAATAATGTGCTACTGACACTGAGGAAGAAGCAATTGCAGTAGTGTTTCATGGAACTCATTAAGTTAGGCCAACACAAATAAGCCATCTATTCACTTTCCTCTCTGTGTGTGAGCAGCCAGACTATCTCTCTTTTAAATGAAGGCAACCAGCTTTACTTCTGGAATACAGGCATTGTTACAAGACTTAAATGTCTCCAAAAAGAACCTGACTTTACTAAAGCAACACACACTGGTAGCTGAACTGATGCAAGAACCAAAAGCCATTGAACAGAAAAACAGCAACAACTAGTTTGGGGAAAAATCAGCTAAAAATACAGTAGAAGGAAAAAGATAATCTCTACAAAACCAATTCTGTACAACACAGCTGATAAATCTGCCACACTGGCAAACACTGAAGCCAAGCACAGGCCAAATAGAGAAGTGAGGGCAACAAACTGGGGCCCCAGCCCCATCGCCACATACACCTGTTGTGCCATGGCAGCAGGGAACCCAGCCACTGCAGCAGAGTCCCCCTGGCAGGTACAGCTGCACACAAGTCCTGGCTGAACGGCACCTTGCTCATCCAAACTCATCAACTTCCCTCATGCAGGAAGCTCTGCTTACAGCCTGCGGGAAAAGGGAAAAACAACAGGTTTCTCCTATTTACATCACCTTCTTTCTGTTTACATCACCTATTAGGGAACACAAGCCTCGATCCAGTTAGACCTGGAATTTTAAGTCTTTCACATAGAACAAGAGCGAGGTTCCAGCTCACGCGTCTCTCTACAACACAAGTCTTAAACACACATACTGATTCAAAGACTTCTTAAATGCCTACAGTTCCTAACCTGGACTTGCACTCTCCTAGTGGAAAAAAAGCTACCCTTTGCCCAGAAGAACAAACTACCGGCAATGAGACTGCGGAAGTAAATATAAGGGTAAATCATGTCAGATAATCCAATTTTTCCAACCCTCCTTTTAATCTAAGTATGCCATCTCATCAACAGATTTATTTTATCGTCTGTCTGAATAAAATCAAATAGCCTTCACTTCCAGGAATTAAATCCACTCTGGATTTCTTGAAATGTAATTGTACATTACAAAATCCTACCGGTGTTACTGTTTATTTTCAGTGTACAAATAATCACTGCTGGTCCTTATAAAATGACAAGTGACAGATGAACACACTCTGCAGCTCTACTGGGACAACTGTAAAAATTTCAGACTTCACTCCTACAGACCTCAGCAGTACCAGTACCTACTTAAAAACATACAATTATCAAGTTTGGAAAAGATCTGCAAGACCATCTAGTTCACCATCTGCCAATATCCGGGAAACTACAGGCCTGTCAGCCTGACATCAGTGCCAGGGAAGGTCATGGAACAAATCCTCCTGGGAGAGATCACACGGCTTGTGTGTGATGTCCACAGGATCAGGCCCAGCCAGCATGGGTTTGTGAAAGGCCGGTTGTGTTTGACCAACCTCATCTCTTTCTACAACTGGGTGACCAGACTGGTAGATGAGGGAAAGGCTGTTGATGTAGTCTACCTAGACTTCAGCAAAGCCTTTGACATGGTCTCTCACAGTATCCTTCTGCGGAAACTGGCTGCCCGTGGCTTGGACAGTTTTACCCTCCGTTGGATAAGGAGCTGGCTGGAGGGCCGTGCTTAATGGGTGGTGGTCAATGGAGTGAAGTCTAGCTGGAGACCTGTTACAAGTGGTGTCCCCCAGGGGTCAGTGCTGGGGCCCATCATGTTTAATATCTTCATTGACGACTTGAGCACCTTGTCCAACCCTTGCAGATCAGCTTGGGCCATGGTCATAAGTTCTGGGCACTGATGGTATAGTCAGTGCAATGATTGCCTTGCTGGCCAGAAAGACTGCTTACAAATCAGTGCAGAAAATAACCCAGCACTTCTTCAGGAGGGGAAACTGTTTACGAGGCTGGATAGTGATAGGACAAGGGGAATGGTTTTAAACTGAGACAGGGGAGGTTTAGGTTGGGTATTAGGAGGAAGTTTTTCACACAGGGTGGTGAGGCACTGGAACAGGTTGCCCAAGGAGGCTGTGGATGCCCCATCCCTGGAGGCATTCAAGGCCAGGCTGCATGTGGCTCTGGGCTGGGGTCTGGGGGGGGGTTGGTGCTGCATAAACAACTGCAGGTCGTCATAGCAAAGTGAATATGACACATTTAATAATTTAAAGTAATTTAATGTAATTGAACATAAAATAACATAAAATGCCATAACATAACATAATCTAATGGAGTCCCACACTGTCACAGTCCGAGGTGGTGTTGGTGGACAGCCCAGGTTTGGAGGGGTTGGGGCCAGTGCTGGTGCCCATGGAGCACTGCCGCTGCTCTGTGCGAGGGCCGGCGAGGAGCCCAGGGCTACAGGTAGCCTTATTTGTTGGCTATGTCTCCTGCTGCGGCCGTGTCTCCTGCTGCACCACATGGGCTGGTTTCTGCAGATGCTCCCGTTTTTGCTGAGCCCACCCAGCTTCGCCTAGCGTGAGCGCTTTTGCTCTGGAGCATCCTGCCTCTGCGGCAGCTTCCTCTTGGTGGCTTGGATGCTGCCAGTGCTCTGCTGGTGCCCACTGGTGGTGCAGGCAGGGGCTGGGCACTCAGCCGAGTCAACATCCATGCCCGGGATGTTGTCCGGGACCTCTTTGGGTGCCACTTCTGGAAGAGAAAGAAAATCACCACAGGGTTAAAGCCAGCTTTCCCACACCAAATGGGCACAAACACTCCCCCGCCAGCTCTGCTGCCCCCAAACTCACCACTGTTCATCCAAGCCAGGAGGTCACCAATGTCAGTGATGTCCTCCGGGATGTCTGAGCTGGTTGTCGCTGCTGGAAAAGCAAGAAAATGCACAGTGAGGCAATGCCATCTTTCCCACAGCCACCCGGTGCCGCCAGCCTGCAGCTGCTCTGCAGCCCCCAAACTCACCACCTGATTCCAGCGCTGCAATGCTGCAGGTGAGTGGAGCCATGGTAGGATGGGGGCACATGCTGATGGGTGCTGGCTGCTCCTGGTCCTCCATGTGCACCACGGCATCTCCAAAGGGCTCCTCCTCCTGCTCTAAGATGGTGGGCAGGGTGCCAGGCACAAGGTGCACCTGCTGCTGCACCGGAGGTCCTTGGAGGACAGTTGAGGGTCCAGGGTGGCTGGGAGCCTGCAGCGGGCAGCTGCCTGTGGGCTGCTGGGGCTGCATCGTCCCTGCCACCGAGGGATGATCCCAGCAGTGGGCAGGAGCACTGGGGGGAGGCATACCCGGCTTCATGCCCCCGGGTAGGAGCACGAGCAGGGGTAACTGCTGCCCCCCAGGTTGGAGATGACCCACAGACTGTGGGCAGCCCCTCAGGAGTGAGCTGAACCACAATGGGAGGCACCCCCTGAGGTGGGAGCTGACCCACGGTTGGGGGCTTCCCCCCATTTGGCCGCTTACCCACAGCTGGGGGCTTCCTCCCACGTGGGAGCTGACCCACAACCTGGGGGACCTCCCCAGGTGGGAGCTGAGCCACTGTTGTGGGCATCCCCCCAGGTGGGAGCTGACCCACAACTTGGGTTATCACCCCAGGTGGGAGCTGACCCACAACTTGGGGGACCCTCCCAGGTGGGAGCTGACCCACAGCCAGCCCAGGTGGGAGCTGACCCACAACCTGGGGGACCCCCCCCATGTGGGAGCTTTATTATATGACATCAGCACCAGGCACATTCAGAGAAAAGGTATGGTTAAAGATGAGAATACACAAAGCCAAGAACCCTGCCTCAGTTAGGCACGAGAGGTGATGTTTAATGTGTTAAATTCATTCGACTGCAAACTCAACTTATACATCTTCATTAAGGAAAGAAAACAAAAAATCACCTGCAAAGTGAGCACAGATCCAGCTGCCACCATATCAGCTTCTTGAACATACACGTAACTACATTTTTTCCCAGGCAATTTCCTCATAGAAAGTTTTCCAAATGCATTATATGTACAAACAACAGTAATGGTTTGTCCTGTACCAATTGCCAGAATCCCACCCAGTCACTCTCTCACTCTTCCATGGAAGGAAGATGAAAATAAGATGGAAAGGCTCATGAGCTGAGATAAAGACAGAGACACCATCACAAGCAAAACTCGGGGTCCTGGTGGACAATAAGCTGGACATGAACCAGCAATGTCCACTTACAGCCCACAACACCAACTATATCCAGAGCTGCATCAAAAGAAGGGTAGTCAGCAGAGAGAGAGCTGACTGTCCTCCTCTACTCTGCCGTCATGAGACCCCACTTGCAGAATTGCATCCAGGCATGGGACCACCAGCACAAAAAAAAACAGGGAGCTGTTGGAGTGGGTCCAGTGGAAGCCACTAAGATGAGCAGAGGGCAGGAGCACATCTCCTGTGAAGAAAGGTGGAGACAGCTGGGTTTATTCAGACTGGAGAAGTTCCAAGAAAAATTCATGGCAGCCTTCCAGTACTAAAAAGTAGTTTATAAACATGAGGGAGAGTGACTTTTTACACTGTCTGATAATGATAAGACAAAGGGGAATGGTTTTCAACAAAAGGACTGAAAATTTACGTAGGATGTAAATGGGAAATTCTTTAGTCAATAGGGCAGTGAGGCATTGGCATAGAGAAGCTATGGATGCCCCATCCCTGGGAGCACTCCAGCCAGGGTGGATGGGGCCTGAGCATCATGACCTAGAGGCTGGCTACCCTGCTTATGGAGGGGGATGGATCTATAAGGTCCCTAAACAGAACAAGGGAAGGAAGGGTTGTCAGTCCAGAACACCTCATCTCAGCTGCTCCTCACAATTTTCCCCAGCATGGGCCCTTCCCAAGGCCCGCAATCCTAGAAAAACATGCTCCACCACAGGCATCTCCACAGACTACAGAGGAACCTCTGCTCAGCACCTAGAGCACCTTCTTTTCTTCCTGTCCTTCTTTCCTTCTTCAGTACACTGCATTTTTATCCTTTCTTTGACGTGCTTTCCTAAAGAGACCACCAGCTTGGCTGATGAGCTCAACTATCGCCTGAGTGGATCTTCTGGAACCAGCTACGTCTTGCATGGGGTGGCCTTGTGAACAGAGGCCTCTGCAGCTCCCACGCCACCATGTGGGTATCTGCAGCCAGTGCTGCTGCACTTACTGAAGGTTAACAAAAACATTTGAAGACTTCACTGAGAACAAAATGCACTTACTAGAGCACACCAAAGGATGGATTTTCACAGGCGTTCATGTGTAACAGATCTGGCTTTCAGCTTTAGAGACCAGGGGAAGAAACACAGCCCACCATTCTGCAAGGCTAGCTAGTTTTTTATTTATAATTGCTCTCAGCAAACTTGATCTGTAGCCACTGAGATCAAATTCTGTAAAACCAAGTGTTAGTCATTAAAGGCACAAAACAGCATAGAAGCAGAGAAGCAAAGACGAAAAACAGAACTTAATTTCTTTTGGCTTCAGCCAGATTCAACAGAGCCTTAAAAACATCAGCACTGCGGCTGTGCATAATCACATGCAAGAGTCAGGGTTTTTTTGCTTTATGACATTTACATAAGCTTATACTTCACGTCTGTACTTCCACACAAAAGCACTTAGACGGATAATCAGAAGTGCATAAGAGCACTTAAGTACTGCATGACGAGTACAATACAGTACAACAGAATCACAGAATCACAGAATCACAGAATCGCCCGGGTTGGAAGGGACCTCAAGGATCATGTAGTTCCAACCCCCCTGCCTAGCAGGGCCACCAAACACACACATTCAGATCAGGTTGCCCAGGACCCCGTCCAACCTGGCCTTGAACACGTCCAAGGACGGGGCATCCACAACCTCCCTGGGCAGCCCGTTCCAGGGCCTAACCACTCTCCTTGTATAGAACTTCCCCCTAACATCCAACCTAAATCTTCCCTCCTTCAACTTGGATCCATTTCCCCTAGTCCTGCTGTTGTCAGCCCTTTTGAAGAGTTTACTCCCCTCGTGGGTGTAGGTTCCCTTCAGGTATTGATAGGCTGCAATGAGGTCACCCCGCAGCCTTCTCTTCTCCAGGCTGAACAAGCCCAGCTCCCTCAGCCTGTCCTCATAGGGGAGGTGCTCCAGCCCCCTGATCATCTTAGTCGCCCTCCTCTGGACCCTTTCCAAAATCTCTCTGTCTTCCTTGTACTGAGGGCTCCACACCTGGACACAGTACTCCAGATGGGGCCTCACAAGAGCCGAGTAGAGAGGGACAATCACCTCCCTGTCCCTGCTGACCACCCCTCTCCTGATGGAGCCCAGGATCCCATTTGCCTTTCGAGCTGCCAGAGCGCACTGCTGGCTCATGTTCAGTCTCTCGTCCATCAGGACCCCCAGGTCCTTCTCTGCCGAGCTGCTCTCAAGGACCACTCCTCCCAGCCTGTACGGGTGCCTGGGGTTCTTCCGGCCCAAATGCAAAACCTTGCACTTTGCCGTGTTGAACCTCATTAGGTTCATCCGAGCCCAGCCCTCCAGCCTGTCGAGGTCCCTCTGAATGGCCTCCCTTCCTTCCACCGTATCGACTGCACCACTCAGCTTGGTGTCGTCAGCAAACTTGCTGAGGGTGCACTGAATTCCCTCATCGATGTCATTAATAAAGATGTTAAAGAGCACCGGTCCCAAGACAGACCCTTGGGGGACACCACTTGTTACCGGCCTCCACCTGGACATGGAGCCATTGACCACCACCCTCTGTCTGCGGCAATAATTTATGATAAATAGAATCATAGAATGATAATTTTCATTGAGCAGATTTTATATTCAGACCTGTGTGTACCTCTGTGCTTAGCTGCGTTGTAGTACAACTCCAAATACCTCATCACAGCACTGAAGTGCTCAGCATGTACAGGGCGTCTCTTGGCCATTTCAGAAAGTGTTCTGCCACATCACCTTTACATATACAAATACAGTTACTTCTGGTAAGTGCTATGTCTGTAGGAAAATGCCTTCAGGGGTGACTTCTTTCTAGTTTCACTTGCATAATTTAGATCTTTATATATGTATTTTGTACAGTCTATGACTATACAAAATCTGTGGCCTTCCAATATTTGAAGGACACATATAAACAGGAAGGGGTACAACTGTTCATGAGTGTGGATAGTGACAGGACAAGGGGGAATGGTTTTAAACTGAGACAGGGGAGGTTTAGGTTAGAAATTAGGAGGAAGCTTTTCACTGAGAGAGTGGTGACACACTGGAACAGGTTGCCCAAGGAGGTTGTGGATGCCCCATCCCTGAAGGCATTCAAGGCCAGGCTGGATGTGGTTCTGGGCAGCCTGGTCTGGTGGTTGGTGACCCTGCCCACACCATGGGGGTTGAAACTATGTGATCATTGTGGTCTTTTTCAACCCAGGCCATTTATTTGATATGATTCTATTCTTAGAACCATCCTAATATGAAACTCAATAAGAACAGCTTTGCATACTGCGTATACCTTATGTCAATATACACTCCATCAGATCAAGAACAAATTCAAGAAGCTTCTTCTGAAGGCTTGCAGTATACAAATGTCATTAACCCACTATGCAGTGAGTTATGTGCCACATACAATGCACTAAAGCTACAGTGATTTCAGTCCTTAAAGCCTGCACTCTAGCTTTATATTTACAGTAAACAAATATCTTGTATATTGCTAGGAGAATATATTTTGCCCACAAGTTTATTTAAGCAGCTTAACTGTCTTTATTTGGATGCTATCTGAACAAGTACAAACACTGCACAATCACCAAAGCACACTGCAGTAGGCTTCTGTTTGCAGTACCATCAGAGATTAAAAGCAGGTCAAGCCATTCTTTTTATCCACATCTCTTCAAGGGTAAGGCAAACGATGTAATTTCTCCATGTTTACTTACATGCACATATAACATCTTTAAGGATTAATATCATATGCAATGGTACTGCTTTGTCTCCTAGGAGATAGGCAAATCTGTTTAGAAATAACTATGCCTAAACATAGGAAGAAGCTGCCAAGGAGTTACTGCGTGTAGGAAGAACGTTCCTGTTAAAAATCTAGGCAGACAGAAATCACAGCCTTCAACAGGCAAGGCATTTGAAAGGTGGACTGCCATACTCAAATCTAAACAGAAAGGATTAACACACCAAACACCTGTTAATTCTCTCATGAAAGCATATTACCTCAACTATAATCAAAGAAAACAGACATTAACAACTAATGAAAAACACCACACCACACCCACAAGTGCTCCAAACAAGTCAGCGAGGCTCCCACTTGCCAACTGGCAAGTCCCAAAGCATACCCAATTCCTGCACATGCCAGAACATCAGCCCACTGGTATCACATGATAGCTAGCCTGAAGGCAGTACCCCCAGAACACATACAGAGCAAATGCAGTCCCTAGCTCCAGTTGTTTCATTCTGCTAATCCATCCCCCCATCAGTGCTACTTGTTTCCAAGGGACAGACTGTCGCCGCTGTCCCGCTTGTTTTGTAGGAAGAGGATTTCCTTACATCCTTCCTCATGTAAGACTCATCTCCAGACAACCACAGCATCCATTTTCCAAAAGCCACACACAAGAAATTTTAGTGTTAAATAATGCAACATAATCCATTAACCTCCCACATGGAAAAAAAATTAAAGACATTGTAATCATAGGGAGAACAACTGCATAACTTAAAATTTTGTTTATAACAAAGCAACTGTTTTTAAAAGAATTGCAAATAGCATGCAAGGTTTTGGTAAATGGAGCTAGCTACAGGTGAGACTGTAACAGACAATGAAAAACATTCCTGACTTGACCCAAGTTAGAGACCAATATGCAGTTTGCTCATTCCAACTCTGGATCTGTGAGCTAATGTATCTACATTCACCATCTGCAGTTTCTGCAATTTACTTTTTCTTAATATAATTCCCATGTCAACAAAACACTACCTAAGGAGTGACACATTGGAAAAAGAGACCTGGAATTATACAACTTTAGCTCTTAAAGCAATAAAACTTGTCTCTGCTTGCCTGTAGGTCACAAGAGCACATACAAGGCTATTCCTCTGCTGTGTTCAAGGTACATCGACCCAGACCCTGGCACAGCCGCTCCCTTGAGCAGCATGCAGGTGAGCTAAGATTGCAGTTGCACTTCCCAGATGTTCAAGCGTTTACTGACATACCTAAGTTCAGATGCAGTCTTTCTCCTCACCCTCAAACAAGTTTACACCTGAAGTGCCTGCTGGTGTGGCTTTTAGATTTATATTTTTAACATGCAGTCAGTTTGTGTTTAATGCCCCCCCTACAAAAATGCTAATAGCTACATGTTTTGAAGAATAAGATTTACTGAAAACTATGGAAGATTTCCTCTTGCGTATGTCATTATACCTTAACTGAACCTCTTTTCTCCTTTTGCTTGTCAAGTGTCACAGCATTACCCTGCCTGTAGCTCTTCTACTGCATGACTAGAGGCTTTTACAAGTAACCCTTAGTTTCAGTTCAACCCTTAGTTCAGCCATTATTATCGTGATGGGAACTTAAAACTAAGCATTTGAGTTGGGATAGAAGCAAATGAGGGGAGATTGCAGAAGGAGCTGCCAGACACGAAGGTAATGCTAAGCAGAAAGTGATAGCACTGTAAACCACTACAGATTTTTTTCAACCCAGTGTCATCTTCTTCAGAAAAGCAGATGTCTAACAACTATCTAAATACAGGCTTTGTTTGAATACATATGTTCACATGTTCTCTCAGAAGAATTCAGTGCAACTCCAAGCTCAAGCTGTAATCTCAGTTCATAGCCTACGGTTCAACAGACTCAAGAACTATCACATCAATGACTGTCACTCTCTTGCAATGACCAAGTCAAAAAATGATGTGCTCAAGCTCCCAACCTCACTGCTCAGTGTGTACGTTAGACATATGTTTTTGAAGAGCATGGATTGAGCAGCATATTTGTGTCATTAATGTGAGGCATAATCTCTTAAACAGTGCCTTTCCAAAAAAAAAAAAAAAAAAAAAAAACCTCTTTACTAACAGACCTTTAAATCAGAAATCAGTCTGATGTTACAACTAGTTGTAACACTTTGTCAATGGGGATAGCTGATATCTAAAAATTAGTAAAAAAAGAAAAAAACGGTTGGACTGGGTGATCTTTTAGGTCTTTTCCAACCTTGGTGATTCTATGATTCTATGATTTAAAAAAATTCCCTGCTTACTGCAGGAAATCAACAGCAGCTTTAATTGTAGAACAGGCCCACAAATGGTGTAATGTTATCACCACTGCTCCACAGAAACAACAAACACTGTTTGAACAAAGGAAGGAACCACAGATAATGCATTAAAACACCTCCTGAAGGTTTACATTAGCCTATGTACTTATCAAAACCATAAAGACCCAGTTGAGCTACAGGCTTTCCCGTGACTTTCTGTAAACAATCTACCATGTTAACTAGCTCAGAACACCATGCCTCTGGTATGTTACCTCCTGCCCTTCCCTGTCATGCACAAAACCTGAAACACTTCATGAAAGGGATCTGAGACATTTTTGTTATATGGTCTGAATAACAACCGTACAATAAAAGCAGCCTCTGCACTGTATGTACAGAGCATTACCATGTTCTAGTAAAGGTTTCCTGAGGTAACAATGAAAATCAAATTAGCAATTCAGTGCAGTAGTTCACCTTCTCCATTCACCCACAGCTCTCTTTCCCAGGGTTGCCAGGCTATTAAAAACAACAGGATTA